GTGCTTCCCAGTCCTTTTGAAGTAAAGCGATCACTACATTTTCATGCACTAAATGATATCAAATAAAACTTGAAGAATTATAAGAAAATTCTATTTTTGAAAATGTACTTCAAAGTTACAAGCTCAACGTATTACGCTAGATGCATTTTTGTCATACTCAAAACAAGACTTTAGATCATAGAGTACCAAAACATCTAAAACTTTTCTACCTGAGGGAACAAATGGCGTATGAACCAATCGTTGGTCACCGGCTACCATGGGATTGCATCTCCTTACGATGCTCCACTGCCTTGTGGGTCAGACGTTCAGGTCGTAGGCTCGGGGTGTGGCCCCCTAAGAAAACCACCTGCTTCGGTTTGGGCACCCGGGCAGTATCACAGCCCTCACACAAATCAATTGAGCTTTGTGTGGCGCATATGTATTTGGTGCCTTCTTGTACCAATATCTATGTGTTAAAATAAATAAATAATAAAACTTTTCTACATAATAACGCATCTATAGGAGAATTACCTAGTTTATATGAATAATTCTTGACATGTCGCAGATTGGTTAACACTTGGAAGCGTTGAAAGTTAGTCTACTGTTATCCGTACATTTTTAAATTTGAGTGAGATCCTGAAGTGCAAGCTCACCATTCTGGTTGCACTCTTCTCTCCAAGGCTTAACACTACCAGCAAAAAGTGATATCTCAGAGGATGTTTGCTGGGAAAGACCATTTATATATATTGGAATTCTCTTAGTACTGGACAGTGTTGGAGTCCAATAGGACATTCTATGGCCTAAAAGATGAGTGATTTATGCTGATCTTAAATAACTGATTATTTAGGCATATCGTAGGCCAGTCTATCAGTTGTAACTGGATACCTATAAGGTTGAGCTTTACGACAAAAAGTATGATCGGCCCTACCATTCTAGTTGCATTATATCGACCTTACACTTAAGATGAAGGATTGCGGTCCATCTATCCACTACAGTCACTAGGTTTGTAGTGTATGTAGTACATATTTGTATTCGAGATTATCTTCTATTTATTTGGTGCCCTCTTGTTCCAATATTTATGTGTTCAAATAAATAAAATAAATCTATTTATGTTACTTCTAAGCGGCTAAAATTTCAAGAAAAAATTGTCTGCAGTGTTTCTTTGTTTTATAGTAAAATTGCAGCTGTTCGCATTATCTAAAGTTGTACTATCATATTAAGTATTCACTACTATTTTCAACAATTCTATCGTTATCATTATGGGGCTGTCGAGGTTGTTAAGATGGTCGCGCAATTTCGTGGATTCGCTGCCGATTGAGGTGGTCCAAGCAATTTCCCAGGATGTTTTAATCAACTCTCGCTTTCTGAACGAAAGGTTGAGTTCTTACGCGATTTGTACTTATCAAACTTTTGCTGTGTTCTTACGCAACAAAAGTGTCACTTCTGATGTAAAGTATCTATCCCGAGCTATACGTTCGGCTGACTTCTTTTTTAGTTTTAACCAACTTAATAGTTAACTGTGGTTTTGTCTCAGCTCACTATTCGGTTTCTCAGTTTCGCACGTAAAGGCTAGTTTCAGTTTATCCTAGCACGTTTTTATCCACTTTTGCCTTCTTTTAGTGTGCTGTTTTTCTTAAGGTCTCGAGCTTATGCTAGCATCTATAAAACAGTTTACGTCAACGTAGTCATGAAAAATTCATTCAAACGACCTGGATCAGTTTCGCTGTTACAGCCGGCATGCAGTGCGACAGCTGCATAGGTTTGTTTTATGAAGCGTGCACAAATCTCACAGCGACTGCTTTACAACAGACTCAGTAAGTGGGTTCATGTCATGTGCAAAACGGATGCTGAAGTTTTGCTGAGTAACATCATGGTCCTATTGACAGGTCTGCGGAATAAGCTGCCAGCGAACTTGAAAAAAGGCAGTCATGAAACGGGTGAACAAACAAGGACGCGCAATGAAAACAAGAAGAGTGATGTCGATAGCGCTACTATCGGTGGAGCATGTAACAAAACTAGTGACGACATGCTGAAACTCAGCACCATCATAACGTTGACGGTAATAGACTCAGAAGACTTGAGTCTCATAGCACAGGATCCCTGGATGCAACGATGGTCCCCAAAAACTCTGAAGTGATTGAACCCTTGTTAACAGAAATAAAAATGACCAAGCATCACCATCTGAAAAGCTGAATATCCCAAGTATTGTAGGGAAATCAACTGGTGATCTGGCCGCACAGTCTACCCTCAAGAATGTCCGTCCGGTCATCAAAGAGCCTGGCATTCGAAAACGTGCTTCAATCTCCATACAACAAGGTCCTCAACCTGAACGCAATCGTAAACCTGGTAAAACAAAGACGGTTTGTAATGATTCTCTCCTAATCATGAACCTTAAAGACAGCACTGACCTTCCCTTCAGTTTGCAAAACAACACATGACAGGATGCTCTGGAGAAAGTTAGATAAGAAGCTCGAAATTTTCAAACTACGGCCTTTGACGGTCACACGATTCACTCGCGGAAATGACTCAAAGCATCGGAATCAACCAAGGTTCACTAAGCTACCGACGTAGAAGGTATCCTACTAGCTAGTCGCTTAACGAAATATGATGGGAACGTGAGAATACTGCCTGACACACCATATTGTGAGAGCAATTCATCCGGAGCACCCCTAGGGAGTCTCGTGAGAAGCTTTCTCGCGGAAGCAATATCATTGTGCAAGGTGTACAGGAGAAAACGGACCCTGATCACACTAACTCTGATATAAGGGAAAGGAAATTCATCAAGTAATCGTTGAAGCTTAAAGACATACTGACTTAACATGTGACGAGACTAGCCAAGAAAGACAGAGATTCTAGAATCCGGCTAATGATGATGACTTTTGCATCCTCTCAAATGTCGACTGCAACCCTGCAAGCATTTCGTGCCAACAGATGTCAGCTGCTAATTGAAATCCATATTCATTCAGATAGGTCACATAACGCCGGGATCATGCACAAAGGCAAGTTAAAGCTGACTATTCCACTTGTGGACTTTCTTGATCATAAGAAATCGTGTAAAGATCATGTTCTACCAACTCAGAAAACCTTGTATAGGTAAGCTACCTGTTCATTCACGTAAGGCCCATACAGACAAACAGGAGGATGTTCACGCGTTTCAAATTGAATGCATAAACTGCTTATATATGAACGCCGCGAGTCTACCAAACAAAATGGATGAACTACGTGATCTTAGCAATGCTAATAAGGCTCATCTGATAGGAATATCTGCAACTTGGATATCTTCTCAGTCTACGGAGCAGGAAATAGCAATACTCGAGATGTCTATGTTTCGCAATGACAGAAAAACAGGCATTACCTGGAGGCACATTAAGTGCACAACCAAGAGTTTATCAATCTTGATGAATCCGTATGGCACTCTGTAAGACTATCTACCACCTCAAGGTGTCTAGTGAGAGCCATCTATAAGAAACCCACTGCTGACTTCGTGTACGACAATCGTGTGCTGGAAGGAATATCGCGCTCCTCTAGTCACAAATTCACTTATAACTTGATTTTAGGTGACTTCGATCTTCCTGAATTCAATTTCGCGTAACATACTTCTTTTGGAAATGAAAATACTACTAAAGCTGGGTTCTTAAACCGCATTGAAGATTTGAGATTGTTCAAAAATATGAAGTCGGTAACTCGTTGGTTAAACAGACAGATGCCGTCACGGTTAGACTGCATATTTACAAACGAAGAATTACTAATCGACATCCTGACAATCCTGGCTCCCCTGGGGTGAGGCGATCACGCCTTCATAGCCTTTAGTTTTATCAGAAAACTGACCTTACACATACCAGTGGCAACCGGAGTTGAAATTTCAAACATTTGGATATGTCAGCTTAATTGGATAATCTACAACAGCTGGATTAGGAAATTAACCTTTAACTTGATGTGGGTGCTCATTAGGATTTCTATCTTCACACGATCTCATATGCTACAAGGCAGTCTGTTCCTCAAGTAATCCTCAAAATATACACGCAACCTAGAGTCATCAAAAACCACACCCTTCGTTTTCTAAGCCGCATTTTTAACCGATCCAAATGAACTATATTGATGAAAGCTTCATCTGCAAGTTGGGCAGATGTCAACGGACTTAACTTTAACGCTTCAAAGTGTGAAGTAGTCCATCTGAGACATTTCACAGACTACAACTACAACTTAGGAAACTTCTTTCTGGAATTATCCTAAGTAGAAAAGATTTAGGAGTCCTGGTACCCTGCGATTTGAAGTCTTACGGAAACAGTATTTCTTCCTGCATTCCAAAAAAGTAAGGAAACTCTGGAGCGTATCAAACAGCGAGCAACAAAATTAGTTCGGGGAATCAAATTCAAGCCCTATGAAGAGAGCCTCTAATCACTAAATCCTTACCCATTAAGACATACGCGTCTTACAGGTGGCCTTCTAATGGCCTACAGTATCCTCAACACTTCTGGATATCCCCTTAAACACCTACTTAAATTTGGCTCCAAAACAAACCTAAGGGGTAACAACCAGAAACTGGAGCCACAACACAGCAGAACGTACTCTAGGTACAACTCCTACTCCTTAAGAGTCGTAGAATGCTGGAATTTGCTGCCCGTTGCGCTAGTTCAAGCGACTTCCCAGAAGTCCCTTAAGAGACAACTTGAACTACCTTTAAGGACTAAGGATAATATCTTTGTGATTTACCAATTTCTTTTACCTCTGTTATAGTTGACATACCTAGGTTTCTGCCAGGAGGTATTGGTGACCCACTGCTATTAGACACGGAAGCTCATTAAGCGAAAGCTTCTTTTATTCCTTCCACAACCATTTTATCCATTTGCGAAAACTTTACATACTCTCAAGGACTAAGGAAAGTGTCTCACTATGATTTGTTGATGCTTTTTCTCTTTTCTCTTTAAATCTACATAGATTCTTATCCGATGGATTCAGTGACCCACTGTTATTAGATACGGAAGACGTTTAGGAGAAAGCTTCAAAAATCCCGCCCTGAAACTGAATCGTCTAAACAGTACACTTTTCAGCGGACGTTTTGTCAGTTTTATCTGTTTTCGTGATATGAAGGGAGCAGCTGATTCTGAGTATTCGATTATAAAGTCCAAGTGTGTTTTCCTTGGAGAACATGGAGGTAATTATTATAACAATCATTTTAGATGAGTAGCGGGAAAAACATCAATCATACTACGTTTCATGCACGATACATTCGATCCAGCTTATCATGTTTGTTGAACTTATTACATGCGTTTGTAATGTTGCAGGCTACGATAGGCATTGACTTTGTTTCTAAAACTCTTTGTTTCAACGAAAAATCAGTAAGAAGGTGTGTTATTTTCTATTTGACCTTCACTTCTCAGATACGTTTGCAGTTGTGGGATACAGCTGGTCAGGAAAGGTATTTCGAAAATTTTAAATTTAATACCACATAAAGGTTTAGCAGTCTCATTCCTAGCTATATAAAGGATTCATCTGTGGCGATTGTTGTTTATGACGTCACAAGTAAGTGGCTTTTGAAGAAATTAAATAAGTCGGACAGTTTTATAGAAATATACCAACACAGAGAATTAAATGCCTTCAAGTGACAATTATGTGCTTGGAGTGTTAGACTTTGATTGATGTCTCGTTCTTATGATTGCATATGTTGAAATGAGATAGCTTGTCTTACCTGTCATTTGTAATTTCAGGTACAATAACTAAGCTTTTAAATGTAATTAGAAAATTAGTGCCTTGAGCAGTTTGGTTGTTTCGCAAGATTAATTGTAGGTTGAAGATCTAGAGGTTGGAACTATAACTTTTACTCAAACTTTGTAATTTCTGCTCAAACGATCAATGTTTCGGTGGTTATAACCACCAAAAATTACTTAACTGATAACCGATAGTCATCCATATCTTGGTCACTGATTCGATTGTTTAATGGGAAAAAGCTGATAACTTATTTTTATCTCAACCACTTTCAGTGGAGTTTAAGTTATAACTGGACAAAGACTTTCATTTGCTGCTATACTGGCAAGTAATTCTTTCACCCTTCTGTTTCGACGGCCTATTATTTTATGGGAGTTAGAAGGCAACAAAACCAAAACTACATGATGTTTTAGTTTTGTGCCGCTAAACAAACTGTCTTTCTTCCATAATGTCCCAAACTTTATGGTTTCTGTTACTGTTATTCTGTCAGTTTGCAAATAAATTATTAAAACTTCAACTTTTTGGTGACGATCAACAAAATGCTATCTCGAGCCAAATTCAGAAAGAGCTTGCTTTTACGGCTTGAGAAATAATTCAGTGACATATGGTTTATCGTGCAGATATCTGTCTTTCTTGTCAAATTCAGTCATGTACACTAAACACTAAACACATGTACTAAAATTTCATTTAATAACAATTTTGTTCACGTCTCAGAAATCAATGCTTATTTAATTATTAACGTCTGTACTCATGTGTAAGGTCGTGAATCATTTGTCAGAGCTGATAAATGGATCGCAGAAATCCGCACTGAACGTCCATCAAAAACATTGGTTTTTCTCGTCGGCAACAAAGTTGATTTAGAAGACAAACGGTAAGTTATGACCCAAATGCTTGCAAATTGTGTTCAATTGAACTTATTATCATCCTACATTACAACTTTGCCAGACAAATGCCACGAAACATTTGTAGGTTATTAGTAACACTAAATGAGGAACATTTTTTGGTTTATATATTTAGTTATAATTTGTTTCATTGAACGAAGTCTTGTCTTCTGAACTTTTCACCATTGAATAAGAAGTAATCGCAAACAGTTATGTCATAAGCTAGGATGAGACAATATTCCTCACCCATTTGACTACAGTAAACGTAAGATCTAGCACAAAAGCACGTGAACACATGTTGCAAAAGCTGGCGACAACAGAGAGGAAAGATTTTAGAGTTATTTTAGACATAAAGCCAGTAAGAATAAAAGGGTACAAAGTTTTATTTGAAAATTTTGTTTTAATATTCATATGTGGATTAAGAATTCATACTAGTTACATCACTAAAACCAATATGAAACAATGTGACATGAGTTTTGCAATCAAAGATCATGGGCTTTTCAGGGGCTCTAGCTTGTAAGTCTTCAGGATGATAACAAACAAAATCCTTTAATGTTTGCATAACTTGATCTCCTTGCTTTTAAATTCCTTTTAAAAACTCAGTTATCAACCATAATTAAGCGTTATGAAAATTTATGGTTGTTGATATGTAACATACGCTTCAGCCATCTACACATACACCATCTCGAATGGAGTAAATTTTACCAACACAAAGTCTAAGTGCATGATCAATTTATATAATTGTATGAAAACCCAATAGCTGATCTCTTCCACTTCAGCGTGCTCGTGATATATAGAGGTCACTATTAGATTATATTATTGTTATCTATCCCCCTGTCGACACGGTTGAGTTTAACTGATGACTGCCTAAATGATATCTACAAAATAAGATCCGAATTACATACACCTATACTTACACAAATAAAAAACATATGTCCGGAGATTCCGACCATTATTGTAATATGATTCCGTTTCTTATAATTTTAATGATATTTCTGTTAATATTTTAGTGAATTAAATTGTTTTTCCAGATTTGTAAATGTAGTCAATATATATATATATATATATATATATAGAGAGAGAGAGAGAGAGACTAATCTTGTAACTCTGATACACATCATATCAAAAGTGGTAAACAGTATTTCACACTCAGTGATTGTTAATGTAAGACACTCTATTGTGTTGTTAAATTGGATGTTTTATCCCTGGATGTAGAGGTTAAATTTTATGTTAGAGTGTCATATGTTCTACGAATTACCAGTTCTTTGTTTTGACTTGTTATTGGTTAATCTAAATTTTACAAGACTTCACATTTTTATATATCGGAATGTTTATTTATAATTTACCTCAAACCACTCTCAAATAAAGTTTAAGAAGTCGGATAGAATTCCTTGCCTTCATGCGGATAGCTGTGACATAAATTCATGTGTCTTAATGTATTCATGACGCTAAGCTACGTTAATTTAAATCAAATTTATTTTAACGGTTTATTGAGTAACTAAAATCGATTTCATTAGATGTTTCTTGACGAAATTTGTTAGGAATAATGGGTAATATTTATAATTTCCAACGATCATTTTTAATTTAAGTCATATACTTAATATATCTTTTTCATGTAAAATAACTTTGTATGCGTTGTTATTCAATATAAATTGATAACCTTCTGCGCTGGTATAAGGCATTATGCTTCATTGCCAAGAAGTTTATGAAAAAATGTCTATCTAATGGATAACTGTTTAGAATCTGAATATTTGATTTATCCCAGCCCTTTTATTGAGTGTATCAGGTCAGAAGGACATCATTCAGAATTGTTACAGATGAGTTGTAATGTAAGTCAAGTCACCTATCTTTAAAGCTTCAATGAGATGAATATCACGATCCGACATGATGATGAGATATTAATTAGATCGGAATTGTAGAAAAAATACGACTCATTGTAAACGTTTGCAATTTGAGCTTAAACTAGCAACGTTTAATGAAGCTCAGTAAGGAAGGTAGAGAAAAGTCTATACAAATGATTCTTAAATAAGTAAATAATATCCCGATTTAGTGTACAATACGTATAATAGTAATAATGGTGATAATAATAATAGCAATAATAATTCCTGATATGTACACCAGCTTTAGGATGCAGGTTCGTTCAATTGCCGCGTCCTTAATAGAACAAAACGGGTGTCATGGATTTTATTGATAACCACCATCCATCTTTGACTACTATTACAACTACTATTTTGTGGATGTGAAACGTATTTAAATTCCTCTAGTCTACCAAACCCATTATTTTTTGTTAAGATTTATATTTTGTCAGCATATATCGCGAATAAATAACTTTTGAAACCTCCTTCTTCTTTACCAGTAACTCATCATACCTTAACTAAACCGTAAACTCGTTAGACTTCCTTATGCATTTAAAAGTCACCAGCTTTTTGAATGGAATCAGGGTGAGTCTTAAGATAACAAAATTAAAACACTAATTATAAGATCTAAAAGTAACTTAATACTCACGTGGTGAATAATTGATCCAGATAAAATTCTATACGTGTGTGACTTAATGTCTAAAACATAATACCTATTTTATGGAATTGTTCAAAGTTTCATACCTACTTGGCTTTCCATTATATCAATATAATGTGAAGTGTAATCCTTATCACGAAACGATATTATTATTAGAACCGCTGAACATCAGTCCAACAGATAGCTGTTTCGTGGCAGTTCGTAACTAATAATCAATAAGCACCACAGTCTTCACACAGAGAATTAAATCCTAGAGTTTCAGGACTTGAAAAATGGGTAAAACGTTTAAGCTTTAAAGTTCAGACTTAACAGTTTACATCGTCAACCCATTTGATATTGTGATATAGCCTTAGCCTGATTCAACATTCTTGATACTAGAATAGACCAAAAAATGGTCATGAATTTTATATTGTTTGTGTTCTATGACAATGAGCAACACATTTTTTCACTTATTATCCAAATTTAGAAGTTTGTCTAGAATGCACCCGGCGATGTTCATATATACTTAATTATTTTCATGCTTTTGACTATCTAAAGAATCGTTTTAATGACAACCTTAAAGAAGAGTTGCATACTTCTACAAACTAAGGTCCGCGCTGACACTGTGTGAGTTACTCATCCCACAGGACTGATGTGACTGTCAAGATGATAAGTTACTTCGCTTCAAACGCTTAGACTAAAATTTGGACCATCCAGTTTAGAGAACTAAACTCTACAAAAATATATATTGGTATGCACCGGATCCATGGAACGTTAACCGATCATAAAATCATATCTGAGATACAAAATTTTACTTGCATAAGTTTATTCCCTTTATTTTTATAGAGTCGTAACGACTGAAGAAGCAGCTAAGAAAGCTGAAAAAGAAAACTTATTCTTTGTTGAAACGAGTGCAAAAACAGATTTTCAAATAAAGAAGGTAATTGGTTGGTTGAGTGATTTATATCATTATATTTCAACTCATATTACTGGTTGAAATATTTTGTCAAACATGTAAATCAGAAGGGGTTGTTTGGAGATTTTAGAAATTTCGCTGGTTGAAATCATGAGTTCATTGAAGCTAGACCACCATGGGAACCTGGAAGCACTGGACGGCCGTTTCGCCCTTGTGTGGGATTCAGCAGTGAGCATCCACGATCCCGCTCCCCGCGAGATTCGAAACAAGGACCTATCAGTCTCGCCACAGGCGCTTAACCAACTAGACCACTGAGCCGGCATCCAACGGTGTTAATGTTTAACTTCAACCAATCCACGAAGTTGCGCCACCGTACACCATTGTAAATTATTAATTAAATATTTTAAAGTATAAGACGTGGTAAAGCACAATCTGTTACTGTACTTTACATGTGAACGATAGAAAGTTTAGCTTGACGAGGTTCCATTGAAGATTTTGCTTAATGATAATAACAACTATACCTTTTGATGAATAAGGAATGATAGTGGAACTACTTAATCATTTATTCATCGGATATTTCTATCATATATCTATACTACTAATTCCTTAAAAAGCTTATAATTTAGTGGTAGATATGTTGAATATATATTTTTGTTTAGCATTGACTTTATATGATTTCATTGGAATCGATAATTACATGAACATAAAACGAAAAAAAACAATTTTTTTGTTTACTATTTTCGTTAATACATTTACCGACTTACTAATAGATTCAGTAATAATATTTTTGATGTGTTATTGTAATTTAATTTAATAATAATAGTTAAGATCATAAGTAAATTGAAGATAGACCACTATAGAAAACCTGAAAGCACTAGATGGCCGTTTCGTTTTAGTATAAGATTCCTCAACAGTGCATATTTACGATCTCGCCTCTCCAGATTCGAACCCAGGACCTATCAGATTCATGATCTCAAATATTAAAGTTATTATAATATCCATAGAAACCCCTTCTGATAATAATATTATATTATATTTTAATTATTGTTTATATGTAATTTTACCCTTTAATCAATCTTTTGTTTTAGTTATTTGATGAAGTTGTAGTAGAAATCGTTAATAGTATAAATAATTCAAAAGAAAATGAACGTATCCTTTTTCTTGTATACATAATGTAATAATCTCTGTTAATTATACACACTTACATATGCACAAACAATGAAATCGAAAGAAATTACAATAAACAGTTGAGTAATGTAAACAAGAACATCTATTGAAAGCTAAAATATAATAATTATAACCATAATAATGAATATAAAGTATTGATTGATACTTTGGGCATTCAATAAAATCCCTCCTGTAAACATTTTTGCCACAATATTGTATCTAGGCTGACATTATTGGACTTTTTATATGTTATTATAATAGTTGAGATCATGAGTCCATTGAAGCTGAACCATCATGGAAAACCTGGAAGTACTGGACGGTCATTTCATCCTATAGTGGGACTCCTCACCAGTGTACATCCACGATCCCGTCTTTCAAGAATCGAACTCAGGACCTAACGGTCTTGCGTGTAAACGCTTAACCATTAGACCACTGGGCTGGCCAGTATCCAACGGTTTTAATGTCTAACTTCAACTAATCCACAAAATTGAGCGACAAATTCACCATTGTCTTCAGTGAGTTACTATCTCACAACAGACCTGGTCACTACTTCTCACTAGAACTTCACGAAATACCTCTAAAATTGACTCATGATCTATACTATTGAAATTACTATAATATCCACAAAACCCCCTTCTGATATTAATCAACATATGCTCACTAGTGACTGACTTCAAGAGGTATTTCCTGGAGTTCTAGTGAGAAGTAGTAACCAGTTCAGTTCAAATTGTCATCTTGATGACTTGATTATTATGGCATGTTTATCTAATTGAACACTAGATGTTCCTTTTGGTAAAACCTGATCTTTTATAAGAGTAAAACATAAAGATGAAATTTATAAAATGGAAAGATTACCATTTAATACTCTAAGTGAATATAGATCATTTATTTATAAGTTAATCAGTTTCATTTCATAATGATAAATGACAAAAATAGTGGAAGGGTTTTTTATATTTCATATTGACTAATTACTTAATTGACTAAACAACTAACAACCCCATATCACGTGAATAATAAAAATAAAGATCTATCTAGTATTGATTGATTGTATTGAACATACTTAACTTTCAAGAGTTTTGTTTCAGTATCAAAAGTCGGATTAACCTAATTAACTTTTGGTAAACTAAATGATATCTCAACATTTCCGTATTTTGATATATAACTAAAAGCTACTAGGTCAATATAAATGAATTCGATCATCAGACTGCGCTACTTATATACTTTTGTTTTTAAAACTTTGCAATCATTTAGTTAAATGATCAACAAAACGACACAAAAATAAATCAGAAGGGGTTTCGTGGATATCATAGTAATTTTAATAGTTGAGATCATGAGTCAATTGGAGCTAGACCATCATGGAAATCCTGGAAGCACTGAACGGTCAGCAGTACGCATCCACGATCCCGCCTCGAGAGATTAGAACCCAGGACAAATCAGCTTCAACTGACTCATGATCTCATCTATTAAAATTACTATAATATCCACAAAACCCCCTTCTGATATTAATCAACATATGCTCACTAGTGACTGACTTCAAGAGGTATTTCCTGGAGTTCTAGTGAGAAGTAGTGACCAGGTCTGTTGTGAGATAGTAACTCACTGAAGACAATGGTGAATTTGTCGCTCAATTTTGTGGATTAGTTGAAGTTAGACATTAAAACCGTTGGATACTGGCCAGCCCAGTGGTCTAATGGTTAAGCGTTTACACGCAAGACCGTTAGGTCCTGAGTTCGATTCTTGAAAGACGGGATCGTGGATGTACACTGGTGAGGAGTCCCACTATAGGATGAAATGACCGTCCAGTACTTCCAGGTTTTCCATGATGGTTCAGCTTCAATGGACTCATGATCTCAACTATTAAAATTACAAAATTAAATATTTAAAATTGATCTCATAGATCATATTATGAACATTCTCATATTAATTATATCATACAAATAACCTATGAGATTGAAAAGAAAATAATAAATTTATCATTGATCTTAAATCGAATTTATAGAAATCATCAACAACAATGTTGTTGTCTAATCTAAAAGATACTTCTCTATGATGTATGTTAGCTGTATTCTCTACTTCTATTTTGTTGTTGTTTGTCTATATGTAAACTGATTATTACCATTATTATTGGAATGTGCTTGTACATAAATGCTTATATAAACAAAAAAAAGTACTAAAGTAAATTTATAAATGATGAACAAATTACACATTGTATCTAATGTACATTTTTTATTTAAATGATCCATAATAATAAAACAGTTTATTGATCTTAACTATATATGATTGTTTTCATTGATGATAATTTGATGTTTTACGCTTCTTTTAAATAAATAATGATTTCATTCAGTTAAGAGTGAAATCACACATACACACACACTTCGACTAATTGTATGATAGTAATTTAATAATGATAAATTTAAATAATTAGTTGGTTATGGTTTGTTATCAGTTCGATAGTTAGTTAGTTAGTAAGTTCTGACAGCCTATTGATATTAGCTAATGATGAAACTGTGAAAAGCTTGAAGAAATACAGGAAAGTTATGTCATTCATTATACGAATATTCGTCAAGATTAGAACCAATAGTTTAATTATCAATACATGAAATATTACATTTACGAAATTATATTTTATTGTAATGGGTTGTTTAATTATTCTATTCGTGGATTGGTTGAAGTTACACATTAGCACTATTGGATACCGACCAGCTCAGTGGTTTAGAGGTTAAATGTTCGCTCGCGAGACTGATAGGTCTTGGGTTCGAATATTGCGGAGGTAGGGATCGTCGATGGGCAATGCTAAGGAGTCCCACAATAGGACGAAATGGCCGTCCAGTAGTTTCAGATTTTCCATGGTGGTTTAGCTTCAATTGACTCATGATTTCAACTATTGAACTTATTCCATTGTTAAAATTCCATCGAAATTTCTATAAATTTCATTTTGATTTTGCAAAATATATTATAACTGTACATTTAAATTGATGTGTACTTCTAAGTTTGATTAAGATACACTGGATTGAACAATTAGTCTTTCAGTTTATTAACCTTAGTGTATCCACACAATGAATCCACCGGACATCGAAGCAGCACACACAGATCTTCCTGTAGATGTCAATGCACCAACGACGGAAGAAATCACAATGGCTATCGGACAAATCGAGAGCGGGAAAGCAGTAGGACCCGACAATATACCAGCTGAAGCACTGAAGTCAGACATTGAAGTAACTACAAACATGCTTCATCTTCTATTTAAGAAGATTTGGGGGGGAGGAACAAGTGCTGATGGGCTGGAAAGAAGGACACCTCATCAAGATTCCAAATAAAGGAGATCTGAGCAAGTGTGAAAATTACAGAGGCATTACACTACTGTCAATACCAGGAAAAGTCTTTAACAGAGTGTTACTAAACAGGATGAAAGACGCAGTAGACGCTGAACTTCAAGACCAACAAGCTGGATTCCATAAGGACCGGTCGTGCACAGACCAGTTTGCTGCACTACGGAACATTTTCGAACAAACAATTGAGTGGAACTCGTCACTGTACATCAACTTCATTGGTTGTGAGAAGGCATTTGACAATGTAGATAGAAGAACGTTATGGAAAATTCTTCGACACTACGGCGTTCCTAAGAAGATTGTCAATAATATCTGGAACTCATACGACGGACTACAGTGCACAGTAGTGCATGAAGGACAGCTGACAGATGCATTCCAAGTAAGGACCGGGGTCAGACAAGGCTGTCTACTCTCTCCCTTCCTGTTTCTCCTGGTGGTCGACTGGATTATGAAGACCTCGACATCTGAGGGAAAACACGGAATGCGATGGACAGGTCAGAACCAATTGGACGATTTGGACTTCGCAGATGACCTACCCTCCTATCGCATACGTACGAACAAATGAAGATAAAGACAGCCAGCATAGCAGCAGTCTCTGAATCAGTAGGCCTCAACATACATAAAGCGAAAACCAAGGTCGTCAAATACAACACGGAGAACACCAACACAACCACATTTGACGAAGGAACTTTGGAAGAGGTGGAATCGTCCACGTACCTGGGTAGCATCATCGATGAACAAGGAGAATCAGATGCAGACGTAAAGGCGAGGATTGGCGAAGCAATGGCCGCATTCCTACAATTGAAGAACATATGGAACTGAAAACAACTTCCAACCAATATCAAAGTCAGAATATTCAATACGAACGTCAAGGCAGTTCTACTGTACGGAGCTGAAAAGTGAAGAACTAATACAACCATCATCAAGAAGGTACAAGTATTTATCAATAGCTGTCTACACAAGATACTCAACATCTATTGGCTGGATACCATCAGCAACAGCCTACTGTGGGAGAGAACAAACCAGCTTCTAGCTGAAGAGGAAAATAGTAGAAGACGATGAAAAATGGATAGGACATACATTGAGCAAATCATCAAACTGCACCACGAGACGAGCGCTAACTTGAAATCCTGAGTGGAAGCGGAGAAGAGGAAGTCCAAAGAACACATTACGTTGGGAAATAGAAGCGGATATGAAAAGGATGAATAAGAACTGGAAAGAGCTGGAAAGGATTGCTCAGGACAGTGTTGGATGGAGATGCTGATGAACGGCCTATGTTCCTTCACGAGGAGTAACAGGCGTAAGTAAGTAAGTATCCGCACAAAATAGCAAAACAATAAATCTTTCGATAACGATTAATTGATTGAGATTAAAAAATGACTGATTTAAGAAGATAGAATTTGTTTATCGTTATATTTATATAATCTTGATGGCTAGAATAAGATCCCTAATCAAAGTGTATTAGACCAATAGGAAAATCCTCTTTAATCTTAGTTAAAATAGAGAACAGATGTGGTAGACAAATTTGGCGTCATAAAATATCTCTAGAGCTGAACATAACAAGTAATCAGTATTCTGTTGTTCATTCATATCATCCATATTATTATTATTATTATTATTATTATTGTTTTAATTAAACATAACTATTTTGGCTATTTTCATCACTTAACCACAAACTGTATGATGATTCAATTCTTGTTTAATATCAAACATCATTTCATATTTATTTTCATATCTACTATCAAATGTCTTATTTCTTTTATTAAAAACATAAAACGGATTCATAAAACAGATTCAAATGATAATGTTGAATTGGATAAAGAGAATGGATATTGGAAATGTTGGTGCTTTTAATCAAAATCAATAATCACCATAGATACATATATTTATATATATACATATATAATCCAACTTAACAAGTACCTGTTTTTTTTTGTTATTTTTTCAAAAAAGAGAAAACATAATAATAAATTGTATGTTATTTCATATCATGTAAATAAATGATCAATGAATGGCATTCGATTGGGTAGGTGTTTTATTGTATTTAAAATTTGCTTTTTATACTTTTAACTCTCTCTCTCCCTCCCTATATACATATATATGGATGTGCACATAGGCATGGAACCTATGATAGAAAGTGAATATATGAAACTGCTGTAATCTTTCCTTGTTAATTCTTTATTCATTCAAGTCTAAATTTTATTGTTATCCAACTAATTTGTAATACTCTCTTAGATTTAAACAAGAAAAAAACCCATTGTATTTCATGATATGATTTGGATATAATAAAATAGAAAATATTTGAAAAGATATATATTGTGATTTGTTTAATCAACACTAAAATGTAACAATATCAGGATACAAATAATATAATAAATACCGTGGTACGGTCGAGAGTGGGAAGTCGGCTCTCCTTCTTGAAATACTCTCATATGGCCACGTGAATACAATCAATGCTAAAGAAGTACTACTCATTGCCTTCTCGTGGCATTACTGTTGTTTATATAATTGATAAGATGAAAAGCGAATTTCTGTTGCTTTAACCGGGGTTGGAAGGTACAGAGATTTCAATAAGGAGAGTTGGAAAACTCCGATTCCAAACCAGTGGTGCACATGAGCTCCAGTATCTTGAAGTATTTAATGGCGTATGAACCAATTGTTGGTCGCTCGCTACCATGGTACTCAGTTATTAACGCTACTCCACTGCCTTATGGATTAGTTCTTTAGTTCAAAAGCTCAGGGAGTAACTCCTTACGAAAACCACTTATTTCAGTTTGAGCACCCGGGAAATAGTATCCCAGCCCTCACATAAATCAAATGATTTATGTGGAGCATATCTATTTGGTGCCTCCTATGTACTAAAGTTTATGTGTTTAAATAAATAAATAATAAATGACTAATTTATCATCAGTTTGGAAGTTGTTGAGATTGTTAAGTTTTTGATTGAGATCATGAACCGATTGATGTTAGACCATCATTGAAAACCTGGAAGAACTGGACGGCCACGAGTGGAATCGTGGATGCGCACTGCTGAGGAGTCCCACAATTGGACGAAACGGTTCATGATCTCAAACGAATTTATTGTTTTCACCTAACAATTATATACAAATTGTTATGTTTGTTTCATTTGAACATCTTGACAACATATTTATACATTACTGTATGAAGATTATTCCAAACAGAAAATAATCAATTACTTTGAATGCAATCTTGTCAATTAAATCTAAACTAAAAAATGTTTAAAGGAATTTTATCCCACAAAATTTACATCTTGAAAGTGAAAATAATATTAATAGTTTCGATTGCCTCCATTTGTTGAACACATAATCCTGATCTTGTAAGCAATCGATAAATACTATAACACCATCATCTTTTCATACACAGAGTCTATATAGTCTAGATACTGATCATCAAGTTTTAAAAGACTCAATAGTTAGACTTCAGTTAGTTTAACTACAAAAGTAAACAAGGATAAACATAATTCAATGAATCATTGAGATACAAGAAGCACTAGAACTACTTCAGTACTGTTTTTGAACAACGCCCACATATGACCTTTATAAGCCAGACCGTAGTGATAGTCAGTTTTAAGAATAATGATAAATTTAATTATTTCATAATTTCAAAATTCTCTTTAATCAATTCACTTGTCTAAGTGTTACTGATGGTATCATGTAAATTAGTATCATATTGCTTCACATACACTTAATCACTACTAATATAAACTTTCCCACACTATTACTATTCATGTTTTTAACAGCAAGAATGTAAACAATATTAATCTTATTATCAATGATGCTTTAAATAAACAAATATAATTGTGATTGACTTTCTACATTTATACATTGATTGTTTTATATACAAAAATGTCTATCTAATCCATTGACAAATACTTATTTGCAGTAGTAGTAGTAGTAGTAGTAGTAGTAGTAGTAGTAATAGTAGTACTTTTACTCATTTGTATCCATGTATTTCTGTTGATAATCCTTCTATATAATAAAATGAATGAAATGTACATTAGTTCTTCATCAATTTTTGTTGTTGTTGATATTTTCAAATTGGTCTATTCGAAATGGTGACTTATTAAAGTTCTATTATAGGAATATACAAAGAATATATAAGTAGTTAAAGTAATATTCAAGAGAATAAAAACTAAAAGTAAAGTGCAAATTTCCATTTTAACATTTTGTATAAAGTTACTGAATTCTTCAAATCATTAAGTTGATTGCTACGTTTAATATATTTGTAATGCGCTCGCGCGCGAGCGCTTAACCATTAGACTACTACGCTGGCCAGTATTCAACGGTATTAATGTTTTATTTCAACCAATCCACAAAATTGAGCGCCATATTCACCATTGTCAACAGTGAGTTACTATCTCAATTCCAGGTTTTCCATGGTGGTCTAGCTTCAATTGACTCATGATCCCAACTGTTGAAATTACTATAATCTTCACAAAAACCCCTTCTGATATGTATTAGTGCAGAGTTATGATGAAGAACTAATTGAACAGGAATTTCTTCACTCGATTCGTTCCTTCTTTAAAGCTAAAGTATTTCATTCATTTAACCACTGGTCTCTAGTATGTTTTACTATGATAGAATGTACATTACAGAGTTTTATTTATTTCATTCATCTTGTTTGTTTCAAACGATTTATTTGTTGAATCAAATATTGAATTCATATGGAATGGACAAAGTGATAATAAAAAGATAACTGATACAATAGTTTTATAAACTTTAAAGAAAATACTCATTTATCCAGGGGCTAGAGAAATTTTTGTTGCAGAATTCAAGAAGAACCTTCAAAAAAAATTGATCGTCCAAAATTAAATGAACAATATAAACCTATTTAGACATAAAGGAATTATCATTACTGAGTAATACTTCACCAACTATAATTCTTTATCTACCTTCCAGCGCCCAACACTAGCAGCATCATTAGTTACTTTAATATGAAGAATGTATTATGCGCTTAGATGGTGGCTGGAGGTAGTCGACACCGCTATGTGATCAATCATTTGTGATTACATCTCAGTCCCACAGGAGGTCAGTCGTGGCCCGGATAGCTCAATGGTAACGTCTCTGACTGTGAAACTGTGTGA